CGTCAACATTGCAATGGCTTTCTAGCCTTTAATGTCGTCAACATTGCAATGGCTTTCCAGCTTTATTATATATTCGGTCTCATTCCAGTGCTTTTTAGAAGCAGAACTACAGCCAGTGATTAGCGTTGGTAAGTGTAATAAAACAAATTATGTTGTTATTGGGAAAAGCCGGACGGCTACAAAACTGCTATCAGTGCGAGCCGAAGGAAGACAAATAGTGCTAAAGAAGTCATTAAAAAAATATAGAGAAGAAAATTGAATTTAACTAAGAATTGTACGAACGTTACGTAGAAATGAAGATCAGCTATGGAAAACAAAAATGGCGCTCATTCGAACAGGTTTTAACAATGCAGCTCTGATACGATGAAGGATTATAACTTGCTGTGTGTGTATATATATTTACCTCAACTTCATTAGTTATTTTGCTCTTCTCTTTCTTGTTTCTATATGGCAGCTCTTTTACTGCATAATCTGTCTTTGTTCTCTTGTCAATGCATCGTTTGACTTCACTGAAGGAACCCTTTCCTAGGATATCTCTCACTTCAAACTGACATAAAAACTCCATTGGAATCGCTGAATCACTATTAGATATTGTTTTATCAGTCCAGGAAAGCATACATTCACGAAAAAACCGTCAAAATTGTGTCAATATATCTTGCCTAGTTGTCAAACTTTGCTACGTGTTTTTGAATGTCCTCATAGACTAGCTTCTCAATCAAGTATTGCTAAAAACCTAAGTGCGTTTTTATTAGTTTATTAAAATTTCAATAGCGAGTGGTTTCTGTTAATCTCTAAGCATCTCTGTGGTATGAACCGAACAAAGACCGTCTTTTGTCTTTTATCTTAAATAATGAAGTAATGACAAACAATTCCGATATAACAATAGCCAAGTCGCCCTAACAAGTGTGGAATTCTAATCATAACTTTATAATCTAAAGTTTATAGGATTCGCTAATATCAAAGGGATTAGGAATTTTGAGAACATATCTTAAGTCCTTCGGAACAATCATCATTCAAAAATGATTGGCAATTAAAAAAAGGATGATCTCATCAGCATTATAATAATTTCATAAACCACTCGTACGTATAAAGCTATTTCCTTTCCTTTCGTTTCGCTTCCTTTCCTTTCGTTTCCTTTCGTTTCCTTTC